GGAGAGAGCCAGGTAGGGAGTCCACTTGGCAGGCACAGAGTGAAGGGTTTTGATGAGGGAACAGTATCACTAAGGACAGGGTGACATCCTTGGTGGAAATGTGCATTTGGGGAAACCGGCAGGTGGCGCTCTAGGACTGTTTGATAACCGGCCTTTTCCGCGTGTTGTTTTCTTTGTTCAGGATCAGAATGCAGGCAACTGCTAGGCAAGATTCCTCTCTGAAACAAAAAAGTAGATTTTTTACTTGAAGCACACATACTCACAAACACAAAGAAGAATCTTTCTTTGTTTCTTTTTAAGTGGGCTCATAGAAGCCTAGTTGACAAGATCCTCTGAGGCTACCTCTGAGGCTACCTCTGCCAGAAGTTTGCAAACCTGAGCATTACCTGGGAGGCTTGTGAAAATACAGGATCCTGAGCCTCATCTAGACCATTAGGTTGGAATCTTTGGGGTTAGGACTACGAATATGCTTTTAATGAGCTTCCCAGGAGATTCTGATGCTGCTGGCCTGGCTTCGTTTCCCATGTGGGAACCACTGAACTAGACCAGTGTTTCTCAAATTTTATGTGCATGCAAATCACCTAGGGATCTTGTTGAAATGTAGACTCTGATTCAGTAGGTCTGATTCTGTTTCTAACAAGCTCCCAAGTGATGCTGAAGTTGCTGTTCTGCAGACCACTCTTAGGAAAGCAGTGATCTGGAGGAGGAGTTGGTGGACACTGGCATGCACTCAGGCCAGATCCAGCCCATCACCTGTTCTTGTAAATAAAGTTTTATTGGAACATAGCTATACCCATTCATTGGCATATTAACTGGCTGCTTTCAGGTTATAATGGCAGGGTTGAATAGCTGTGATAGAGACCATATGGCTCACAAAACCTAAAATATTTACTATCTGGCCCTTTTATAGATAAAATTTGCTGACCCCTTCATCTAGAGCACTAATGCCCTCCCAGATGACCCCAGCCTCTGAGGAAAGGGAATTCTTTCCATTTTCATACAGATCTGTGGGAAAGTTGTTTCCTTGTAATTGGTTCTAATTCTGTTGGCAGGCCTCTATTCCTTCTTATATG